TTTTAACGAAATATTGACCGAAGATTCCACCAGCCACTTTTCGAAGTCGTTCCATACGTCAGTCCGAGTTGCTGCGAACGACTCCGAATCGACTCTCCACGGTCTGCTATATTTTGTTCATTGTACGCTTTGCGTGGTCTATTCAGTCGAATAGCTTTATTGGTTTGGAATTTATTTACATTAAGCTTACATTATTTGTGGTGAGAGATTTTCAAACCACAGGTGCCCCTCCTTCATGTGTGGTACGTTATGATAAATTTTAGTTCTGTATCTTAATTTATCATCTATGAACTCGTCCTTACTGTTTTGACCCGGAACGCATACGCCAACTTTGCTCAAGTTTCTCGATTTTAACTTAAGCAGTGGGCACGGACGGGCAGACGGACGAAAGAGTTATGAGAAGCTCTAAGGTAATTGCAGCATGTATCACGAAGATGGAAATTGTGCAGTTTGGAGTTGCATTGTGTTGAATGGTTTATCCAATCTGGTAATAATCGAAATCAAAATGCTAAATAAAATTTAAAGCGCTCAGCGCAAAAAATATCCATACAAGATAACTTTAAATACCAGCCGGATAATGATCACAAATATTTAAATTGGCTTACGGAGGAATATTTCGATCAAAAAGCGATAGAGCTCTTACCATGTCTTGCCCAAAATCCTGAAATAAATCCTATTGATCCACCATAGCTTCTTCAGAACTTAGTAGACCGCATGCCTTGACGTCTTTTGCCTGTAATTAATAACAGATGTGTCAACAGCAAGCTCTTCCGCCAGCTCGAACTATGGATGGAGTCATGTGTAGAAGTTCACGCAAGTGAGGAAAGTTCTCTGATCGCCATTCACTTGGGAGTGGCCAGAAACGATTCTTTCACATATGACTCAAACAACTCACGACTTCCGGTCCTTGACCAATTATCCTCTGGGTAGCCTAAGAACATCCGTTTGAAGGCGAGCTAAAGTGAGAGGGCGAAAAATCCCCTACATAGGGTTGTGCGCTGGGTTTGGGACCCACCACGTAAAAAACACCCGCAATGAAAACGCAACAACAGCCTCGGATGAGAGACTCCACTCTTGATGACGACCATGGCAAACGAAATAAAGACTACGAATTGAGGGAATGCACCTGAAACTAACTTATTAAATCCGATTAAAAAAATTTACCACAAAAACTAGAGCTAAGTTACATTCAAGACAAAATAAACACAAGCTGTTTGTGGTAACTGGCATCAAAAAAGAAATAGAGAAAACTTATGAAGAATAAAATTTCTTCATAAATTCTATTCATTAGTACCGAGTAAATAAACTCTGAAATTGCCAATCATCCAACACCTGCGAGTAGAATTCGAGCTTCATTGCATGTCAATTCTCGATTTGAAAACAAATTACCCCCATCGCTTCTACTAACAGTTGACAAAAGAAAAACCGAAATGTGAAATGAAATTCTCTCTTCAACAAAGGACTAAAATACAAATGTAGTCCATATTGACTCGATAGCGAGAAGAGAAGTATAAGAGCAAATGACAAGAACATAATAAAATACGAGTTAAATTCCAATAAATATCTACGAGTGTGAGCATAAAAGTGTAATTGAAGAAAGACCGCAGCGAAAAAAGCGAGTGAAATGCAATAAAAAGCAAACGACCCTGGACGAGAGGATAATGGTTATTTTACCGACATGGAAGTGAAAAAAAGCAAGAGCACATACAACAAAAGTCAAAGCAAAAGCAAGAATCGCAATAAGATAAACTGTAAGAAAGAACTCAAAAAGAAACGGACAAATTGAAAATTGCTTGTTCAAGTACTTCAACATAAGCCTTTTTATTGGCAATCAGGCATTGTGGCGCAATAAATGATTTCGGTTAGAAGAAGATGTGGCGATTAGCAGAGGCAAATTACGAGTCGTTAGTTGGTTAATCATTGCAATAATTATGGGCCATGATGAGGTGCGAGTTAAATGTTGACAGCGTTTTCTTATTAAATGTTTAGTTAAAGCGACATAGAAAAAGAACGCGACAACGTAATATGTGCAATAAATAGTAAGACTTTGTTCATTTTTTTTTTAATTCTTACTTTATTGTTCAAAATCTATGTTTTCGCCTTCAAAGTTATCTCGCTTGTCTTCAATGCACTTGTGGCAATTTTTTTTTTTTTTTTTTTTTTTTTTTTTTTTTTTTTTTTTTTTTTTTTTTTTTTTTTTTTTTTTTTTTTTTTTGTTTTTTCAATTCTCGAAACAGTCGTTAAGATCAGTTTCCCGAATGCGCGTAGCGATTCACGTCATCAACTTTTGTAACCTAACCATACTATTTTTGTAACAGGCCCCAAGGAGAGCAAGACGCAGTCATTACATTGGTCGACATTGTTTCGTTAATCACAAATTTTGTAGCAAGTCTTTAATTTGGTATGGAGGATAACAGAAGGCAGATTATTATTTACTTCTCAACCAATTAGAACCAAGTTTTGTGCGTACCATAGACATCATGAGGCCGAATGTGATATAAGGTACATTGCTATGGTGACCAATAGTACGAAATAAATACGCCGGATGAAGTATGAAAAGCATACCAAGAGAACAACGCCAACTCAGACAATAAACGTCATTGTACATTTACTGCCAGCAGACTTCTTTTGTAAGCAACTGGCAGCAAAGTCAGCTCTTAGTCTATACTTTTAGCCCTTAATCCTCCATATAAATCGTCTGTAATTAATAGCATTCTAAGATACTTAGCAAGTACTATAGAATTCAACTCAAATTCGGTTTCCAATTTTGCCTTCGATTCCACAGAAAAGTAGAAAACGGGCAAGGTGAATGCAGGGATAAAATATACTGAAGGGTCCAAACATACTAGTCGAGTGGAAGATGCTGTATTTTCAGCAAAATTAGACACCAAAATCGCCTTCCATCTTCCAATCAGAGATTACTTAAAGAAAGCGCTTTTATTCTGACCAGAGTTTCGTCAAAGAGAGTGAAGGAATGCCTTAGCGCTTCTAACATTCTATTTTCCGATAAACTCCCATTGCAGGTACATTTACATGACTCTGGCTACTTGTAGCTATTTACCAAACAAACATGTTACAAATATAGCTTAAGCCTAGTGTAGTCAAGCCCTAACTTGCTAACAAGCGTGTCGTGAATGAAATATGAGCCGCACATGGCGCCTATTGAAATTCCTAAGCAATGAGATAAGAAATCCAGCTGCTGACAGATCATTGTCTAAAAAGCAGACAATCCACAAACTAGGATCGTCATATAATTACTATTGAAGATGATTTCAGGAGGTAGAAGAAGAGGAGACTATAAAATATCTTATATACCAACACAAAGCTTTGCATAGAAAAAGTATTGCCAGTGTCGTTAGAGCCTTTCTTGTCTATATTTCGTAGGTTGCACAGATAAAACATATTTTACCGATGGTTTTAAAATATAGCAACTTACCTAAATGAAACTATGTATAAGTTGTGGATCGATCTAAAACTCGTCGCAGTTGGACTACGCCCTCTCAAACCACCAGGTACCGAATATGAAAATTTTCGAAACTACAAAAACTTCGATAATTGAATAAAATTGTATTAAGTCACATATTTTTCCCGCTCTTTTGACATTTATCTTCAATAAGTGTTGACATTTCATCATGTAAAGATATACGATGTGATATAATACGCAGGCAGAGTACAAAATGTTGTCGTGACAGTCAAACAAAGAAGTGTCGAGAATATTACTGACGGTAGCGCGTCAATTGAGGAAGACCAAAATCTGTCTTTTACCCGTCATTCTCAAGCTTGGGGCGATCTTGGGCTACATCCTTACAAGATCAAGCTGACACAAGAACTGAAACCGCTTGGCCACCAAAATCGTCGTATGTTCGTAAATAGGACTGAGTAACTACTTGAAAATTATCCGGATTTTCATCGACAAATCATCTTCGGCGATGAGGGTCATTTCTGGCTGAATGACTTTGTGAATAAGCAAACTATGCATTATTGATCAGGCATCAATCCAAACGGACTCCATGAGTCACCATTGCATCTCGAAAGAATTACAATTTGGTACGGTTTATGAGTCGACGGCATTATTGGGCCGTACTATTGCCGTGATATTCAAAACTGGCAGGTTGCTGTGCTATCGCTATCGCTCAATGATAACCAAATATTTTTGGTCGGAATTGGACGCTATGGACTTTGACAATATGTGGTTCCAACAGGACTGAGCCACCAGCCACACAACGAATGTCACAATCGATTTATTGAAAACCAAGTTTGGTGAACGTGTTATGGCCCAACCAGCGACGATTGACGCACTTCGCACAAATATCGAATGTGAGATTGCATTAGTATCAACCGATTTATGTTTGACAACCATCGAAAATTGAGTTGAGCGTTCTGCAGGCGTGTCAGTGATGGCCATGCAAAATAGTAAATCGAGTTCATACTTACAATGTACTTTCACTCTTACTGAAAACCCCGTTTTGTTTTAGCGAAACGTATGAATTAAATCGGTTCAGGCTTTGATCTAAGCTCCATAAGCCTAATATTACTTCCATTCTCTCTCATGTGAATTCCATTTCGGTGGTTGACTCAATAATATAGATTTTGTCCGTCTTTGTTAACTACGTTAATTTAATAATATATTATATTCACTTAAGATCTTAAGAAACAGCATATAGTTCAATTGAGAGTTATAGTTAGTAGCCAAAATGTCGACAGGTTTATTTAGAAATGATTGTACGCTATGCAAAGACCAATTAAGACTGCATAAGTTATTTATATCAAAATTGTTTCGTTATTTTTTTATAGATCAGCCTCTTGCCAAAATTGAAACGAATAATTTTGACTAAATTTTAATTTTATAAACTTAATACCTATATCTATTAAAAAAGCTCATTTTTTTAAACCATTCCATTGAATTACAGCAAAACGAAAAATTATAAATTCTTTAAAGTATTCCTGCGAAGCGCAACTCACACGCTCTCTCATGTCTCTCCGCTTTCGTTTCTTTGCAGCACGTGGCTTTGGTATGCGTGTCGTTGGCGGCAAAACCGGCGCGGATGGCCGACTCTTCGCCTACATTGTGTGGACGGTGCCAGGCGGACCGGCCGAGAAGAACGGGCTACAGCAGGGCGATAAGGTAATTCGTTTAACTTGTTTTTATCATGATCACCATCAGCATCGTCAACGCTTTGACAGTGTTAAGTGAGCGCTAAAAGGAGTGGGTAATCTTATTTTCGTGTCAAGCCTATGCGGTGTGCCCAGAATCTGCATATAATATACTCTACGTATTTTACTGGCGCGACCCAAGCGCTTGTTGTGTGCCCGTGAGTGTATTGTTATTTCACAGCAACGAGACAGCCAATGGATATCGTTAATTCAATATCGCTGCGAATCATTTTATTTCCATTATTTACACTGTGCCGCCAACACTATCGGTAAGCGCTGTCGAAGCGTTGTAACTATTGCGAAATTTATTATTCGCTGCTTTTTGATTTTTTTCCTTCGTCGGTTTCGATATTTTTTTATCACTTTTCCGCGGCACGGCGGTTTCGCGTAAAAGTTTTTGCATGTTGCTCTTGCTCTTCGAAAGTGCAGCTGCTTTTAAGCCATGAGACTTTCAAAGTTTTTTCTGTTCACTTTTGTGCGCGCTTCTTCTTTGTATTTTGCTGCCGCAGGCTTCCTGTGTGGCTCTGTGGGCGGGCGTGTATGTGAGTGTGCAGCCATGAAGGATTTCCGCTCTGCTAGTGGATTTTTAGTGGCCATAATTTTTTTATGAGCACAACTTTAATGCTCGTACTAACTCAATTCCTAAGCGTTGTCGTCCTTGCATGCGCCGAAGCTCTTCGCCTTACATCCTTTATTCATAATGCTCATAATAATAGTAATAAAGTTGCATTGCGACTTATGTGCCACTTGTAGCTTATCATAAACTCAACTCGCATTCATCATTACCGAAATTTCGGAAAGCAGACAAATTTATAACGGCGGTTTAATAAGAAATATTTTGTCGTTTCATTAAAAAAGCTTCAAAATGGGTACGCAGATGTTGACAGGTCTCCGCATGCGGTTTTAAATATTATTTTAATATCTTTGGTCGTCCTACAATATTTATGGCTCGGCAAATGTTTCATCATAATTTCTTCTTCTCATTGTTTTTTATTGGCGTAGACACCACAGCGCGGCAGTCGTTTCTGCTTTTCGTTATTTGGCGCCAATTCGAGATATTAAGGGCAGTCAGTTACATCTTCTCCTGATCTCTCCAATTGGAGTGGAGGTCCTCCTCTTCCTCAGCTTCCACCGGTGGGTACTGAATCGAAAACCTTCAAAGCTGGAGCGTTTTCTTCAACGTTGCATCGACTCCGGCACTCCACTTCCGTTAAACCTTTCTAACCACACTAATAAGGTCCAATCAGTTTGTTGGCGGTTGGCTGTAATCTTTCACACAATACGCTCGATGGAACTGTATATGCGATATTTAGGAGACTTATCCCACGGTAGTTGGCGCAGATTTTGGGTATCCCTTTTTGTGGATTGGGCAGAGCACACTTCAACCTTCCATATTCTACAAAGAAACTGATGTATGCTCCTTATCAGTTCTTCGGCCCTGTATTTGAATAGTTCGGCCGGCACTCCGTCGGCCCAGTTGCTTTGTTGCTTTTCAGGTGGGTAATTGATATTCAAACTTTTTCATGATCGGGCAATGGAACGTCCGCCCCATCATCATCAATTAGGGAATCTGGTTCACCAACTTCTGGTGTTATGCTTTCACTGCCATTCGACAGCCTGGAAAAGTGCTCCCTACTTAATTTCAATATTATTTGGGCATCAATCACTAAATCACCTCGTGGAGTTCTACAAGAGTGTGCTCCGGTCTTGAAAGCTTCTATTAGTCGCCGCATCTTTTCGTAGAACTTTCGATTATATACCCGTGTTGGTCAACTTGTCAAGCTCTTGAAGCCTGCGCATTTCGGCCTTTCTCTTTTTTTGTCTCGCTTCCCTCTTGGTATATGTCCCACTCCGCTCGTGTTGTGGTTGATCGCAACATTTTGAGAGTTAGGCCGTCTGCTTTCTCTCCACTGCAACAGGACAGTTCACATTTTCCCTCACATTTTCGATCTTTAAGAAAACTAATGGTTTCGCTTGCAGCAGTACATAAAGAGATCCCGCCACACAGTTCACTTATACTGAGTTGCTGATGAGAACTATGAACTACTGTTGATTTAAATTCTCGCCTGCAACATCGTTCTTATATATTATTTTCGGATCTATCTTGTAATCTTGGGACAGTTGTATACTGTGCCCGACTGAATTTTACTTTCTACAGATCAAAAGTATGTACTCAGGAATATTTTATTCGAAAATAAGATTGATAATAAGAAAATAGAATTACCGAATACAAAAATTCGAATTCGAGTAAATTTTTTTTCGAATTGAGTTACAGAATAGAGCCTCAGCTAACCAGGGTCTCCGAAAATTCGAGCTTCGCACATTTCCCGAARCCTCGGTTCAACAGTTCAGTTCAGTTTCGTCATTTCTCCTTCTACTTGCTTACTCCACCTAAGACACGGTTTACCTCTACATCTTTCACCACCCACGCAAGATTCGAACACCAATTGACAACCAATGGATGCTTATTCGATTTCATGGTACGGCCCAAATAGCTTCTCGTTTATTGAGATACGTTCGTTTCCGCCAACACGTAAAGGGTAAAAACTGTAGCTAAAGACCTAGATCTTGAATAATCTATCGTCAGCGCACTATATTTTCAAATCGTTTATTCAATTAAATACATCAAACAATAGCACGGATGGTAGCAGGCGCTTTTTATATAGTGCGAATTCTTTTTGTCGAAAGAGAGCTTTAGGGGCCCATCATAACAGCGATTCGCATTTATTATCTATCCCTGGATCTCCAAGCTCGCATTATGATTGCTGTTCATGGCAGTGCTAAGATAAATGAAGTTCTTGACTGTTTCGAAACTATATGTCCCAGCTACTACTATTCTGTTAATTGTGATATTTTTTTTTTTTATACTCTCGCAACAAAGTTGCTAAAGAGGGTATTATAGTTTTGTTCACATAACGGTTGTTTGTAAGTCCTAAAACTAAAAGAGTCAGATATAGGGTTATATATACCAAAGTGATCAGGGTGACGAGTAGAGTTGAAATCCGGATGTCTGTCTGTCCGTCCGTCCGTAACTTGAGTAAAAATTGAGATATCATGCTGAAACTTGGTACACGTATTTCTTGGCTCCATAAGAAGGTCACTTTCGAAGATGGGCAAAATCGGCCCACTGCCACGCCCACAAAATGGCGGAAACCGAAAACTTATAAAGTGGCATAACTAAGCCATATATAAAGATATTAAAATGAAATTTGGCACAAAGGATCGCATTAGGGAGGGGCATATTTGGACGTAATTTCTTTCGAAAAGTGGGCGTGGCCCCGCCACATACTTTTGTACATATCTCGAAAACTACTATAGCTATGTCAACCAATCTATATAGAGTCGTTTCCTTTAGGAATTTCCATATACAGTTCAAAAATGGAAGAAATCGGATAATAACCACGCCCACCTGCCATACAAAGGTTATATTGAAAATCACTAAAAGTGCGTTAACCGACTAACAAAAAACGTCAGAAGCACTAAATTTTACGAAAGAAATGTCAGAAAGAAGCTGCATCCAGGTTTTTTTTTTAAATTGAAAATGGGCGTAGCGTCGCCCACTTATGGACCAAAAACCATATCTCAGGAAGTGCTCAACCGATTTCAATGAAATTCGGTATATAATATTTTCTTAACACCCTGATGACATGTGCCAAATATGGGTGAAATCGGTTTACAACCACGTCTGAAATCTCGATTATCACTTTATCATGTTAGAGGGTAAAATGTTCGGTGACACCCGAACCTAGCCCTTCCTTACTTATTTTTGGCTTGTTATTGCTTTCATAATAATGACCTGACAGTTGAGCTGGGAATAACGATAACTTTGCAAAGCAGACGAGATGATTTCTACTTTATTTCTTGACGCCTTGGACACAGAAAGTATTCATTCACAATGAGCTTATCGACAGTCGGGGACATGCCAGTTCTAGTAAACTTCCAAACCTAAGAGAGAGAAACAGAGTAGGTACTAGACAGTCAGTGGTTCCAATAAATTTTGAAACCTAATACAGAATGAGTCTCAAAATGAAATTCATATTTCTAGGAAGAACTAGTTTATTAGGTTCGTTTAGCAAATATCTGATATATAATAGATCTTCATCAGATGCCTGGCGATGCTAATCGAGCTCAGAGATGATTCCGTGCAGTAAAAGTCTGTAAAAATATCCAGCTAATTAATTCCATTATTTTCCCATAACTGCATTCCAGATACTTGAATGGAATAGCATGTCGCTGATTGATCGTAGCTTCGAAGAGGTCTGCGCTATAATGGACCGTACCGGTGACATTGTCGAATTGCTAGTTGAGCACGCCACAGACTTTCGTATGTGCGATCTATTCGATGAGAACCTACCACCAGGCAATAGCGGCAATCAAAGTGGACCACGACGTTCAGGTGACGGTCCAGTTGGACTGGGCTTAATCGCGGGTAAGTCCGATATGCTCCAAACTATACTTTATTGCCAATAATATTTGTGGTTATTATTTCACTTAATAACGGTGAAATAGGTAGCACACAAGTGACTGAATTGATTTTCCTAATAATTATATAATTGTAATGTAATTTTTTCTCTTTTTTTCTTTTCTACTTTTTTAAAATTAACCATTTCTTTAACAACTCTACACATTTGCAAAAAATATTTTTTACATTTTATTTAATTTTTCTTTTATTCACTGCGCACAAACTCACCAACAATAAACACACAACAACACGCTAGACCCTGAAACAACCACAGACAAATCACCGGCCTCGCCGACCAGACGGAAATTACCCAAAACTCCGGTATAAAATCCTGAACAAAACTCTAACAACTCAAGAAACATTTAGATTTATTTTATGAGAAATTGTTTTTGTTGGCTTTTCCACTTGAAATACCACTTTGCTAAGCTGCAGTGAAGGTGGGTGTGTATGTAGAGGGTATATATACCGCATGACCACCTTTTTGGTGGAACGCCTGCCAGCAATTGTGGCAAAGCAAGTAGAAATATTTATTGCGCAAGTGAAAGCCAACAATTTCTTTATTGTCTGCAGATTTATATGTATGTATATCAGAGCCAAAACGACAAAGAAAGTCTTAAAAATCATCATAAGTTAAAAAAGCTCTAGGCAACTACGAGTACTAAGTAAGCCGAGGCAGTAGCTATATCATACACTATTTATAATTAACTTAGTGCACTTCCGGCAAGAAATTTACTGGTTCGCTTTTTAGATTAATTTTTGTTCTTACACATTTTTTTTTTATTTAACTTCTAAAGGCTTCTTTAAAAGGTACTTATGAAACTCAAACTATTTTTCTTTAATTTTTTGTTGTTTATAAATTCAGTAAGTAACTTGCAAGAGAGTAATTTCGCCTCTCACCGAACTGTACGCTTTGGCAAGCAGAGATAGCTGACATTAAACAAACAATAGATATCTTATTACCAAATTAAGCCACTTCGAGCGAGGTGAGAGCAGCAATACTAGCCTTGATTTCGCTCACTGTGCGCTCAAAGTTAGCCAAGAGATTACTGTCCTCACTAACATAGTTCTTCATTAGATTTTGTTCGTTTGGTTGCCTGATGAATAGCACGCTTAGTATTGACTTCTACGCTTGAAGAGAGTCTGGTTTATTGCCATAGATCAATGACTTCAAATACTTAGTGTAGTCACGACTTCATGGAGCCATTCAATGTCAGAATTTCTTGAAATTTAGCATCACTCTACACCGCTTTCCATTGGTAGAACAGCTTCATTTCGAAAGAAGTAGGGACTGCGGACCGGACCAAACTCTCAAATTATGTTAGCGGAATGGGTGTTCATGAATATATTATGGATTTTCTTCGCATCAGATTTGAGAGATTTTTTTATTTACCGCACCACTCAGATGAAAGTGAGCCTCATCGGAGAATATGACTTCTTAGAAAAATCGTTATCCTTTTCTAGCTGTTGTAAGGCAAAATCAACAAATTCACGATGGTCAGATTGCCTCAGTTCTTGAGTGAGAACAATTTTATACGGATGCGGGTACAAATTTGTTCTGAAAATACGCTAAGTTATGGTTTGAGACAGTCCCAATTCGTGAGAACGTCTTGGAATCGACAAATTACGGTCCTAAGCAACACCTGCCTGAATATTTCATTTTTGTCACTTGAACACTATGTAAGGAAAATATAAGTTCGAAATTTTCAACAATTCGACGAGTAACGAGCACAGGTGGACTATTATTATGACCTTAAGATGGCGTAGCGCTCTCAAGTACCTTTCCATGATGAAATTGTAAACACTACGGAAAAAATTAAAGTCCATGACATATTAAAAAGGGCGAATTGGAAGGCTTTATATTTTGTAAATCGACGGTCCTTTAAGGTTTTCCTTATATTGAGAAATAGGGAAAAGCCACACGAAAGTGCAACTGGCGAATATGGAGGCTGGCACATCTTCACTGTATTGTATTTGGCCAAGAGTTCGCGGAAAAGCAACGAAGTGTGAGCTTTTAACAAAAGAAAATCGGCAAGCTCATAAACATACATCTGCCCCTGGCGGCTGATATAACAACCGATTTTACGACGACGAACTCACGAAACGCTACCTAAAAGCACATAGATCAAAACAATGCGTTGATCACCGCCCAAAATAATACATTATTTTTGCAAGTATTATATGTAACCAATTTGTTAGATGGAGGGGACATCTTTTCCGTGGTCGGATTAGAGGCTGACCTAAAACCTCTGCCGTGCTGTGGATCTGGCAACCAACCGCATTGAAACTCCACACTGAACTGAATTTTCAATTCTACCTGGCTTTACGTTTAAACCACAGCCATCAAGAATCGCCCAAAAGGGCCAGACCCAAAGAGCAGATTGAGGCGAGTTCCAAGGGTTACCAGCTCGCCGTGATACTAGAATTAAGCCTGCGCTCAGATCTTGTAGCTTTTGCTACTGCCAGTTCAGCAACTGTCATGTCAATCAATGACTGGTGACATTTGTCGCTTGACTGAAGCTGACTATTTTATTTCTGACTAGACTTAGGTAAAATTTGATGCCAAGCCAAATAGCAGACAGTCCAATGTGCATGACTTTTGTCGCCTCTTACAACAGGCATACCTTGACACGGGCAAAATCTACCCGCTGTCCGCTGAAAGAAGCGGTTGCAGTCAAAATAAGCATTGAATACAGCTGAAAATTGTATCCTACCACAGTGGCATGTATTCCAACGAAACAGGGCTCGCCAAAGCAGCGAAATTTTTAAATTCGCATTATTTTCTGAACTCACCTTTTACATGTTTCTTTTGTTAGATATACACATGACTTTGCAGTGGTAAATATTGTAGCAAATGCAGCTCTCTTCCTGCTGAATGACTTTCTTGCCGAGTAAAAGAAGCGTGTTCGTTTCATACGTTCCCGAAGCGAAATTACTGCGCTCACAGCAAATTATTTATTTATTTTTCAAAACATTATTTACGAAACAATTTACTTATATTTTCAAAAAATGTTTATGCGTAGTTAGATTTGAAAATTATTAGTTGATTTTGAAGGTATTTCTGTATATAAATTACACTGAAAATAAATTATGTAGCAGTTGATTATATAATATTAGTATTTTATAATCTTTTTAAGTTATTTTTACTGATTTATTATTTTAAATTTTGAAAAAATTTGGAATTCTTATTTTTTGGATTAATTTTTTTTTATTATTAGGATTTATATTTTAAATACATTTTTTTGATTACTTTCAAATAGTTAGCGTTTTAAATGTGTAAAACAATTGCTAATTTTCCTTTGGTAGTGCTTAAGAACTTGTTCTGGTTCAAAAAAAATGTCTCATTTTTATTTTTGGTAAATAATAAGGTTAAATTGTAGCATTGCTTAAATATTATGTATTTTTAATATAACAAAATTGCAAAACAATTATTTCTTTGGATAACTGTGCGTAGCTAAAGTCATTTCCAAAACTCTATAACGCTATCTTTTTATACTTTTATATCTTTTTTAAACGAACTAAACGCCAAATGGCCAACACACGCATAAACAGAAACATACATACCAAACGAAAACAGAAACAGAAACAGAAACTGAAAATAAAAAATTGAAAAAAAAAAAACAAAAAATAAATAGTAAATAATAAAACTACAATACATAATACATAAAAATAAAAAATAAAACTATTATATATAATATATAATACTTAATATACTAAAAAAAATAAAAGATTACAAAGTATTGTGCGAAAAGCAAGAATGTGACAACTGCATACTAAATAAATGTAAGTGATATTACTTTTGCTAGCAAAAAAGTCAAAACCAAAACACAAACGCTTTTATAATTTCCAAACAACTATTTTCGGGAGAGAAACTATGACTGTCGTTTTTCCACGTGATTACTTAAGCTCATGCTAACCGCATTTATTTTTAAGTTTTTTCATTTCCAAACCTTTTTTCGCGTTAAACTATCTGATATTTTGATACTGGTAGCCTTAAACTGCCCGACTTATCGTTGCATTTTCTACTAAAATTACTTGCAGAACTTCCAAACACAAACATGACTTCTCCACCGAACTTTCATTTCAAGCTCATCTGTCCATTACTTCAAACTTCATTTTCTTGGAAATAAATTTAATAATTTAAAAACGAATATTTAAATATTTGATGTTGTGTAGTTAAATATTAGTCATTTACATATACACACATAAACAAATATATTTACGTTATGCAATTATCTAGCCATAAAATAAAGTACGGTACTCAAATTGTTACCGTTAATTATGTTTGGTAATTGAAATGTTGAATTACTGAATACCGTTACATTTAAGTGGCTGTTTAATTGAAAAAAAATATATATATAAATATATTTAGATGCAAAACATGCACGTACAATGAAACTGTAAGTAACAGTTTATTCATAAGTACATACGTAACAGTGTTGCAAATAAATCGCTTGTTCGTGGTTGCCATATTGGTTTTATCTGCTAGAAAACCAGCGATTTGCAAGGCACCTAACAAACAAAATTGTATATTCTTTAATAGAAATAGAAATAGCAAAGTACTTGGTGCTTAATTCAATACATACACTTATATGTATATAAACATATTTATATATACTTATTGATTTTTATATCCGCAAATACAATATTTTATTAAAACTTTCAAAATATTTTCTTTTGAAAATGCTCACATTTTTTTATATTGCTGATGCTGGCTCCACTGTAAATGGCGATCAGTGCATGCCGGAAGTATGCCGTCGACTTAGTTGAGGAAGGACCTTTTGATGCTATCAGGCACCTTAGCCTGATAATCGCTAAGTATGGTTTTACGTTCGTTTCTAGGATCAACTCAATCTTGCTCTCGTGGTCAGATGACATATGTCAATCCAAGTGTTTTTGGAAGTAATGCAACACGAAGCACCACTACTATTCAAAAACTACATTGCCGTGGAAAAGTTCAAGTTCTTTCTTATATTTCAAATGGTTGCTAAGAAAATATTGGAGACTCAGCAAATACCTGCCAGTATCAGCAATATATAGTATTTAGTTGGAAAATTGTTTAGAGCACTGCTGCCATTTGAAACCTTCCACCAACTACTTCAAATTTCTACAATTTTCAATTCAATTTTTTGCGCTCAAGCACCTCCCTCTCCTTGTCCAAATTGTTTAGTATAAACTCACACTGCAACTACTTAGTCATTGGTGTAACTAACTGTATTTGATTAGTTGTTATAATTGCTTTTGTAAAATATCGTTTTTTCGTAGAGCAAACCAATTGCTCTCAGTGTAAGAACAAAGCACCAACAATAGAATTTTAAGCGGAA